TGTTGATACACACTTTGATTTCATTTTCCCCATTTACATGATTATGTTTTATTGAAGTTTATACCTTTTCATTATGTGGAAGCATGTATATGTCTCAGTTAGCAGTGCAACAGTTGTTTACCATTTTTGGTATGTTAAATAAACTTTTGAACTTTTTCATTGAAGAAGAAGCTAGAATGAAAAATCGTTTGGTATCTGCACGGCATTACTTTGCATTTGGAGCACTTGTGGGGGAGGAATTATCTTACAAGTTGAAAGGTAATATTTCTTTTCCAGTATGGTCATTAGGAGTTCCTGAGATTTAATTTGATTATTTACTACTTATGGTGCAGAATTGCCCGGAGTTAGATGAGTGCTTCCTGATTCCTACTTGGATGTCAAGAAGAAGGATTATGGAGGTATGAACCTTCATACTGTTTTCGCATGTATTTGGTCCTTAGTGTTTTCTTCTTTGTATTACTTGTGAAAAAAATTGTTTCTTTCCCAATCACAATACATGTAGGACACTTATTATGACTTCTATTTTGTATGCTTTAGGTGCATAATCTCAATCACAATACATGCTTTAGTTCACTATCACAATTTATTGTATGCTTTAGGTGCATAAAATCTAAGGATAGTACACCAGTGTATATGCGTGCACTTCCGTTTTTAATTTCATAGAGATTATAAATTGAGCATATTTTGTATGGAACAGTTTTTGCCTCATGTTTTTGGAATGATGCATAAAAACAAAAACTATATTTTTCCTCTAAATATTTTGTATGTAAGACTTTTCTTGTTAATAGAGTTCATGTTACCATATTTCAATTATGATAGTGAACTACACTTTGTCAGATATGATTCACTTTTTTTTAACGTTGGGAGCAAAATAATTGTATTTTTTACTGTATAAGTTTGAAATATAGTCGTATGTGACAATCACTTTTTCCTTCTTAAAAGCTACCCACCGCAGTTCCATTCCTTTCCTTCTCTTTCTCTCTTCAAGTAAAGCCCTCACCAAAAACTCCACCACCGTTGTGTCTCCTCATCTCAATAGCTCCACCCACAGTATTTTGAATTTTTTTCTAATAATTCTGGGATCTCCAACAGAAATCTTTGGTTCTTGTCCACGTTTCAAGATTCTGGTCTTGTCTTGTGAATACATCTCTTCGTTTTTCTCTTTCAAACCCATTAGGTTTTTATATCTAATTTGATTATCTTTCTTCCATTTGTTTTTTTGATAAAATTTTAAAGTGTCCTTACAATTTGGGCATTTGAAAAGAGGGATTGATTATCTACATTTTTCTGTAGATTCAATGGGTTTTATCGGGTCTGAAGTTGGTTGCAAAACCTCTGGCTGGAAAGTCTTTAGCAAGTGGATATGCATCCCGTTTGTTCACATGTACAGTTACATGGAAAACTCAGGGCATGATTGAATTTAAATTGAAATAAAAAACCTACCCTGCTGTTCAAACAATTCTACAACTTTGGAATGTAAGCTAAAGATGGCCGCCACTTCTAATACACACCTCCAACAAGAAAGAGTTTAAGTGCAATTTGTCTCGATTTAGGCTTCTTTGTACTAATGATCAGCAGCTCCAGTTGCTGCTTAGCCACCACTATTCTTACTCTCCAGCCTTTCTTCACCACTTTTGGTGGTGTTGGTAGGCGGCAATGTAGCGTCAACTGCTGTAACTTGGCTTTGCATGCAGGGAAAAAGGTGCCTTGCAAAGCTGAAAATGTCATGCCTTCTTCTCTTCTCCTGTTATCGTGGCCTTGAGTTCCTTTCCTCCTCCATTTTCTCTGATTTTCTTTTGGGATGCTACAAAGTTACCCATTTTGCACTGATGTTCAATTTAGGACAACTACACATATATAAGGTTGCTTACACCAACAGAAAACAACCGTGCACAGTACTTCGCAGTTTGTTTAATATTTGACATTCTCTATAGTTGACGAAAGATGTTTATAGAATGAATATTTTAGAAAATCATGCAATAACAGAACCAAATTATGCACTTTTTGAGGTTGACTTTACACATATATGTATTAATCTTTTAAAGGTCGAATCGGTAATGAATCTTTCATTGAACTTGCACCCAGAGTGCACACTGTACGTCAAGAAAGTCGACTCCTAGCAATCACATTTGTTCTCACCTTAATGTGAACAGATTGTGAGATATTCTTTTATTGTCTTCTTTACTTTAAAGATCACCAAGATCTTAATGAGCTAATAGAACATCCTATCAACTCGACAACATATTAATGAAGGGTTATTGATAGACCTGACAAGAAAATTAACAACTGAACTGAAATCAAGCATAAAAATTGAAGCTAGGACGAAATTATTAAAGCAAAAGTGCATTCTGGTTAAAACGTCAAATTGCTTCCTTATTTCATCTCTATTATACTAAATCCAAATTATACTTTGGGGAGACTCTTGCTTCGAGCTCTAACGTTATCATTCTTGATGTTGGAGTAAAACATCTGAAACTTCTGTTGATCACTTTTCTTTTTCTCTTCATTTTTCTCCACTTTTTGCTTCAGGAAACACAGAATTGGTGATGAATTCATTGGAAACTGTGGCCATTTTTGTTCAGAATGATCATACCGTGTGCATATACTGGTACAGTTACCAAGATAGATAGATTACGTAAGTACATGTAACTGCGTGTGCTATCTTAAGTGGTTCCCAATCACGTGACTTTTCCTTCTATTTTAACAAGATTCTGAATCTTGTTGGTAGCTACTGGAGTTGTATACTTTTAAATGGTTGTTTTTTTAGCAATTTTTGAGCTAGCAAACTATTTTTAACAAGCTTTCAGATCCATTCTGAATTGTGTAGACTTAGATCTTTGTAGAGTAATATAAGCTCGTGCTGATATTCCAAAATCATAGGTTTGGTTTCCCATCTTTTGTGTCATGTGAAACATTTTGTCTTCTTGTGGTGCAGGAATTGTTTTGTCAGTCTTGTAGTGCTTCTATACAATCCTCTGGCAAAGGAGCAATTGGCTACACAGATTCTAAATGTAATTCTTTTTTATCTTTGCTTTGTTGTGCAAGTTACATATTTACTAACTTATAAATATAATTGTATAATATTATTAAAATTCATCTTCTTTGTTTGGGGATCAAATGTTTGATCATTAGTCTTAAGTTAAGGAGCAATTGCAGACGAGCAAGCTGAGGTCTGTAAGACATTATCCAACTGTAGAGGAATGGTTAACACATTAGTTGTAATACATGATTAGAATTTCGCTTGCTAAATATTTTTTTGGAAAGTAAATAATTTTCATTTCTGACTAGATTTTGCTTCACGAACCAAAATACTATGAGTATTTGATCCATTATTCTTTTCCTATATTAGTTTGAAGTGAAGAAAATCAAAAGCTTTCCAACTATGTTGAATCTCTCTATCTTAAGCACCATGTTCTTTTAGCGCTAGATATTGACTTGAACATTTGGTTGAATAAATGATGGGAAATTCAAAATAACTCTTTGATGCTCACTCCGTCTTTTTGAGCTCTCCCAAAATTGAAGTTTCCTTCTTTGTATATTCACATTCTAAACTTATGAGGAGAATGCAAGACATACAAGTCATTCCACAACATAGTCGCTTTGTTTTCTGTTAAACATTTGTGTGTATGGAGTATGCAGCTAACTCGTGTTGAACTCACGGCCTATTTTATTGGAGCATTCACTTTGCCTTCGTCTGTCCAGTCCTGTGCTTATGTTTTGTTCTATGTAACCCTATTAAAAGTGTGGAATGTGTATTAGGATTAGCAATTTCTTTTTACTTATAATTACCACATTAAAAATCTCTTATCACCACCAGTAGTTGCAGATATCAGTAACTACGTTAGAAATAACTTGTATTCTTTGACATACAGAAGGTTGATTATTGCAATACATATTGAACCGTACTTCATAAATTTTCTAAACATCTTCTAATTATTTTCTATATTACTTTGGACCATAAGGAGACATGTTTTATATTTGAACATTAACTAAAAAAATAACTTAAAATCACTCCACACTATTAAATACCCAATTAAACTGTAGCATGTGCATCGCACGTGCCTACACTAGTTATATTAGAAAAGTTCAAGTTTTGTCCTGAATTATCATTAGCTTCTGTTTGTTCCACATTTTTTCTTCATTTTTAGAAAAAATTGTACCGTTGAAGGGGCTCTACCTGGCCTTTTTTTTTTTTTTTACTTTCACATCNTTTTTCTTCATTTTTAGAAAAAAATGTACTGTTGAAGGGGCTCTACCTGGCCTTTTTTTTTTTTACTTTCACATCACACTTCCCTTGAATTGCACGCTCCAACGATATAATTTATCATTCTCCTCCTTGGAATAATGTCGTCCAAACAAGGGCTAAACAAAATTAAAACTTCGAAGAGTTTTTAAAACAAGGTCGAGTGAATGACCTAAATGTTTTTTACCCTAATAATATTTAAGGCATATTTTGTTTTTACCAATTCAAATTTTCTTATTAGTATTATTAACATTATACCCTTGGCATATTGCTTGATACGTCCGGTAGTGTAAATTTCTTTTTTCATACCACGTGTTTTGAAGTACTCGATAAGTTATGAGTGGTACATAATGTGTAGAGTGATCGATAAGTTGTAGATCCTACGTAACATGTGAATAGATAATATATTTAATCTACTTATAATTTAAGCTTGTCAAACATTGATTTATAATGGATCATCATTTTTCCTGTACTCAAAATTACACGACACCATTATACCCCGATGATCTCAACAATTTTTCACTATGCACCACAAGATGGTTGTACCCTTGCCAAGTTATCGGTCGCCCTTCTCCTAGACGAAATTGTTCTCTTACTCATAGTGGGCAGGATAAGCCTGTCCACTTGCTGAAGTGGCAGAAGAACATTACGGTTCTCTCCAAATGTGAGAACCGTAAGTACGATCCTCTCCAAGTGAGTAAGATAAGATTTCTCACTTTGGGAAGGAGAACATTCCTGACTCAAAAAACTCAAAAAATTACACGACACCACTATACCCCGGTGATCTCAACAATTTTTCACTACGCATTGCTCGCCGGACTGAAAATGCATCACCCCACCTTCCAGCATCTGCATAAATGTTGGATAATAAAACCCTACTAGGACCATGAGATGGTTGTACCCTTGCCAAGTTATCGGCCGCTCTTTTGCCTATATCCATGTTCCCATGCGTTCTACACGCTGCCAATAGTGTCCCCCATATCACGACATCTGCTTTCATAGGCATGCTCTTTACGAGTTCTTCTGCTTCTTCCAATCTTCCGGCTCTGCCTAAAAGATCGAGCATACAACCATAGTGTTTTATGTTCAGCTCTACATTGTATATGCTTTTCATGCTCTTGAAATGCTTTTCCCCTGCTTCTACCAATCCAGCATGGCAGCACGCGCTCAAGACTCCGATAAATGTGATCGAATTGGGCTTTATATGACGCCTTTGCAAGTCAGAGAAAATTCTTAAAGAGAGGTCTGCGTGCCCATGCATAGCCAAGCCACAAATAATTGCGTTCCAAGGTGAGACATCTTTGGCCTTCTCTCGGATTTGATAAAACATTTCTAAGGCTGCATTGATGTTTCCACATTTGGCGTACATATCTATGATCGCTGCACTCAAATTATCGTTGATTGTAATTGAGTTATTGAGGATGAACTCATGAGCCCATATCCCTTCTTTCAGAATGCCCATAGTAGCAACCGCAGACAGAACACTGACCATTGTGATTTCGTTAGGCTTGATCCTACTACCTACCATTTCGTGAAAAAGTTCAAGAGCCAAATTTGGCTGCTCCTTTTGTGAATAACCAGAGATCATTGAGCTCCATGAGAAAATATCTCTTTCGGGCATCTCATTGAATAAACGCCTGGCCTCATCAACCATTTCGTTTCTTATTAGTCCTGCAAGAAGGGCATTCCAACAAGCAATATGGTCCTTACTTCCTTGATCAAACTGCGAAAAAGCAAGACCGATTTCTCGGCAAGCAGCATAAAAATAAATTATCGTTGCCTGTATGAAGTCGTAATAATCGAACCCCATCTTCACTGCTACACAGTGGAATTGCTGACCCTCGACAGATGCATTAGCGTGGGCACAGGCTGAAATTATGCCCACAATCATCACATCATTAGGACCCAACCCATTGCACACCATGTCACGATAAAGCCTCAAAGCATCACTTAATCTCCCTTCTTGTATGTACCCATCAATCATCGTACCCCAAGAAATCACATCTCTGCCAACAAACCTTTCAAATAATTCCCTAGCTGAATCGACCAAACCTGCCTTTGCATAGCCATTTAACATCACATTCCACGAAACCACATTCTTTTGCAGCATCTCATTAAACACCATCCTAGCATCCTCCAAATGTGAACTCGCACAATATAAGTGAACCAAATTAGTTGAAACAAGAACAAACACATAAAGGCCAAGTTTTAACACCATTGAATGCAGTACTTTCACATTTTGAATTCCGTCAAAATGCGCAAAAGATGAGATAATACTAGCCATGGTCACTTCATTTGGGACCACACCAGAGTGCCTCATTTTCCCAAAAACCCCAATCGCATCGCCATAAAACCCATTTTGAGCCAACCCCATTATCATAGTCGTATACGACACACAATTCTTCTCCGGCATTTTCACAAACAGCTCACATGCATCATTCAAAAGACCATATTTCACATACCCAGAAAGCATAATGTTACAAGACACAGAATCAAGCTTCAGGGAATCATCAAATATCGATTTGGCGCAAGAAATTGACCCGCATTTCGAGTACATGCTGATCAAGCTGTTCTGTACAAAAAGATTAGAATCAAGCCCAGATTTTTGTATAAAGCTATGGAGTTGTTGGCCATTGGAGATCAATGAAGGGGATGATGAAATGAATTTAAGTGCAGAAACTAGTGAAAACTCTATGTTGTTGGATTTTTTGGAGATGTTTTCGAGAAGGGTTTGGACAGGGCGTTGGTGGGTTTGTGGGGTTGGAGTGGGAAATGTGGAGAGGCATCTGAGAATTGAGAATGGAGGGGAATGGGGCGCAGTATTTTTGAATTTGAGATGATTATTCATGAGATGGTATCATTAGAGAAAAATAAATGAAATTTATGCTCTGGGTTTTGATCGATAGCTGTAATTTGTAAACCAAGTTTTGGGATTTGGAGGGAAAATATGCTACGGAATGTCAATGTTAGTGTGCAATCACCGTCCGTCTACAACATTGTAAAGTAAGAATTTCCACAAGGGTAAGTAGATTACTGTTTCTTTGCTAACAGCATCTCGAAATTTTGCTCAATTTTCCAGTTATATTCTCAACTTTTTTCGTTGCATTCTCGACCATTTGTACTAATAAGTGTGGACTATGATATAAAGGCAGGAGTATCAAAAATCGGTGATGCTACTTGTACATCAAGATGTACATAGGGGGATACAACCCCGCCTCATATGAGGGGTGAGACCCACTCGAATAAAAAATATTATTCAAGTGGGTCCCACCCCCCATGTGAGGGGGGTGTTACCTCTTATTTACATGTCTTGATGTACAAATGGACTAATTCATCAAGAATTGTTAGTCATCATACACTCGAAAATGAGAAACATGTGCCACCAGTGAAGGAGACATGAGGCCTCAACGATCCCGATGGTGATATCTAAAGCTTGACACACATGGTCAAATTAAGAAGGTGATGGACATGGTCAAAGTAAGAGGGTCGGGTTCGATGAGACATACATATTGGTTGGTCCCACCATCACTAGAAAAATGACACAAATAATCTTTGTTCTCAACGAAAGAACAAATTTAAGAAGAAATTACCAAATCAAATATAGCCCATCACGAAGAGAGAATATCAAGCACTCTGAACTAAGCCATAGCCGATCCACCCCACACAATCTGAACCGCACTGGGGTCTAAATGTCCCCATACCTTCGCCATTTGAGGATCTTTTGGTACGCAAAATTGTATAGGAAACTTTCTAATACGGTCGAATCCACCTTACCAAATCAATCAAACCATAGCCCCATCCACCATGGCAAATTTGAACCTGTTCTAAATGCCCTAATACCTGCATCATCCACCTTACCAAATGAACCAGACCATAGCCCCATCCACCATGTCAAATTTGAACCCAAGTGATTCTAAATGCCCTTATACCTGCATCATCGAAGGTATTTTGGCAGCAGAACTGACTGATAATAGGCACATAAAATGCTGAAAATACCCCGTTTCTGTCATCGTCAACAAAGCTACTGTCATTCAACATAACAGAAACCCATTACTTGCATAGGCCCAACACAAAAGATAGAGATTTAAAATGTCTACTTATTAATTCTATAATTTATTCTCATTTAATTTGGGATGTCGAAAAGTAAGGAACTTCCACGGGAGAGTGGACATCATTTGCTTTAGGAGTCTACCATTGAGATTCTAAAAAATTGTCTCTCATAAGATTACAAGTCCTTCAGAGTATAGCAAAAGAAGAAACGCTTCAGTGAAGCCTAAATGGAAACCGCCACCATGAACAATCAGCGATTATCTCCTCCGCTAGTAAGAGCGAGAGACCTGGAGGTCACATCAGAAGAAGTTATATGTTTTCCACCAAAGCAAGTACAATGAAAATGATAGATAACATTAACCGAGTATACATAAGAAATTGGAAATCATGGATGGAGCAGAAAAATGAGCACATCGTTGATTTCAAACATCAGTGACTGAAACAAACATACAAGCAAGCCCAAAAAAGGACTAAATTATTCCTTTCCACGCTTTACGAGAGACTAAGCATATAATGGAAAAATTGCATGTCGGGTTTAAATTTTGCCAAAAATCTTGATAGAATGGTAAGATTTCTAGCTGTAAATATGCAAATCATCTAAAGCCCCTCATTCTTGGCTTGACCAAATCTATTCTCATGTTATCTTTCTATTGTTTACCATTTCTTTAGGTAATGAGCAGACGACTAATTAGCTCACTCTGTTTCTCGTTCATCATTCATGTATTTGAAAATTGACAGCTCTCCTAGTCCATATGGCAAATTCATTCCCACGTAAGATTAGCATGATATAGCAGAACAAAACTACTTAAACTCAAATCCACCATGTTCCAGGCACAACTCCATGATAAAATATATGTGTTTTAGGAACTAGAGTTTGACTTTTTACAGCAGTCAATAAAATTCTCATGCAAAACCAATTTTTCATTGATAATAACCATAGACACCCAAGTCATGATTTGCTAAATTAACAGATGACAAATTATAAGACACCAATAAAATATATAACGAGCAAGTTTATGCATATACCCCAAAACAATAATAGAATGCAGGCACATGGTAGCAAGGACCTGTATTAGTTTTCCAGTTCATAATCTGCCATATGATGTTTGGAAACACACATTTGTACCCGGATATTCCGAGAAGTGGTTAATGGATAGAGAGCTTAAGGGAAAGTACAGAAATTGGACTATACTCCTCCTTAAGGAATGCAGTAAACATTATTAACATTTGCTACATCTTATAAAAAGTGAAAAGAAATTTATGAGGCAACAAACATGCACTTCACAGAAGACGAGCATCTGAAGCCTAGAAGTAATTACTTAAGTGAAAAAGCTTGCTTTCATAGATACTATTATGTTGAGTGATGCATGCGGAAGCATGAAAACATAGAATTCACAAACAATCTTAGTTCATGTTGATTCACTCATGAATAAACTAACAGAAAACTATGCATCAAAGGCACGTTGATTTGTGCAAAATACCAAGAATTTAGACTCATTGATTCATATAGAATACCGATAATCGGACATATAATTAGAATGTCTTTGATGGATATTATTGAGGAAAGAATGTATTTTAAATAGTGATATAATGGGAAATATGTAGTTAAAAAGTAAAGAAAAGTTATTGATGTAATGGAAAATATTATTTTATTGAAGAATGTGTAGTTGAAAATGAGTTTTGAAAAAATGTATTTTTTGATAATGTGTGTCAAACGGGGCTTTAAGAAACTCAAATTTTCATTTCATAAGTCCTGTTTTTCACGACCCTAGTAATCTTATTTATAAAATGCAATAGAATCCATTCTATGAAGAAATTTCAATGTATCCTAATAAAAATCCTAATCTAAGATCGGTCTTGCTAAGGGTACATCACCCCTTACACAAGGGGTGACATAATGGCCAAGTGGCAGAAGCATGAAAAAGCTTGCTTTCATAGATACTATTATGTTGAGTGATGCATGCGGAAGCATGAAAACATAGAATTCACAAACAATCTTAGTTCACGTTGATTCACTCATGAATAAACTAACAGAAAACTATGCATCAAAGGCACGTTGATTTGTGCAAAATACCAAGAATTTAGACTCATTGATTCATATAGAATACCGATAATCGGACATATAATTAGAATGTCTTTGATGGATATTATTGAGGAAAGAATGTATTTTAAATAGTGATATAATGGGAAATATGTAGTTAAAAAGTAAAGAAAAGTTATTGATGTAATGGAAAATATTATTTTATTGAAGAATGTGTAGTTGAAAA